GGGCAGCGGGGCCCCAGCGCCCCCCTCCGCACGGGACTGCTGCGCACCGGTGGAGCAGAGCGGCTTTATTTTATACTCAAAATACTCAGTACAAACAAAATGGGTGAGACCAAGGCTGGTATAAATACACTGCGGCCAACGCGATGGGGGGGGACGGGACACACACACGGGACGGGGACAGGACACGCAGGGAACCGGGCTGCACAAGGGGAAGGGCGAGAACATGGGACAGGGTGGGAGCATGGTCCTGCCGCCCCTGCCTGGGGTGCTCTGTAAAGAAAGGCCCAAGATTTGCCCCGCATGGAGAGGGGCAGGCACAGTTATGGCAGATGGGATCACCACCTTAGCCAGACAGGTCCGGTTTGGCAGGAGGACGGCGTGGGGGCATTTCTCTTCCCCACCCAGACAGCCCAGCTGCTGGGACAGGGACAGGCACGAGGCTCCAAGCATCGGCCGAGATGGGCTTACGGCCGCCATCCCATTTGCGCAGCTAGCTCTGCAGGGGCAGAGGGCAAACACGTCCCCGCGCGACACCAGGGAACCAGATCTCCTGTTGCACCCCAGGAGGATGCAGGGAAAGGGGATGGGTGCTAAACAGCACCCTGCTAAACCTGCAGGAGAGAGCAACTTGGACAGCTGGTGCTGCTCTGCACCCCAATGCCTAGAGAGCTCCCAGCAGCCAGAACAAATGACTTCAAGAAATAGCCTTGGCCCACATTTAGCTCACTCAGTACATCGCACCAGCAGCCTGGGAACAGTAACAGCCAGAAATGTAATACACCAGATGTGGAAAGAACAGGGCAGACAGCTGGCTGCCCGGCAGACGCTGCTGTGCTCTCTCCCCAGACCATGCAGGGGACAGCAAACTAACCAATTTGTTGCCACCATCACCTGCGGTGGCCAAACACTAAAAACAGATTTGGTCTTTACAATTTAACACAAAGGAATAACAAAAGCATTTCTCCCAAACCTAGCACTCACAGCCCCAACATGAACCAAGAGCAACCAGAAGTTTCAGTGGTATTTTTCCCCCTGATATATAACTGACTTATTATCTTGCTCTTATGACTTATTATCTTGCTCTTATGACTTATTATCTTGCTCTTATGACTTATTATCTTGCTCTTAACTCAAACTGAAAACCAAACAAGCTCCACCCTCAACACCACAGCCTTGTCACAAGCAACCACTCAATAAAGTTGCCACTAAGGTTAAGGAGAGTTGTGACAAAGTGAGCTGCATCCTATGCTGATTTATTTAGAAATCCCATTATTTAGCAGAGGAACAGGGAGCTCCCAGAGACAAAACCCAAGTGGTCACCGCCTTGCAGGCATCAGGAAGAATTCTCAGATCCAGCTGTACCATCCTACCATGGTAGGACCACAATGGTTTTCTCCCTATCAAGCAGGGCCAAGCAGTGGTGCCTCCCCACTGACCTGCAGCAGGGTCCCCCGGGGGCACAGAGGCTCTCTACAGCTCTGGCAGGGGCTACAAGACATTTAAGGGTCCCCAGGATCATTTCTGATGGCTGTACAGGCTGCTACAAGAACCAGCAGTTCCTCGCCCTGCCAGCAGATGCGTTAGGCATAAAGCAGTGTGTGGACAGGAGGTTTCTCTAGCACATTAAGGCACTTCGGCATCAGTCCACTTCCTCTGCATTCTGAATCATAGCGCTCTGAGGGTGGGTATTTCAGGGGGGATAAAAGGCTTAAGGCTTCTGGGGTAATAGTGCCCAGGGGGAGCATTTTTTGGAGTCATCTTTTAATGTTGCTTTATGCCCCAGCTCCTGTTGGCTACTGAAAGGCTCTGGTTGGATTTACCTGAGCAAAGCAGATCTTGCTCCACGGATGGCTACGCAAGCATCCAAGCCAGAACTGTGCGCACAGTGTCTGAGGAGCTTGTAGCACCTTGGTGTAAGTAGCAGTAGTATAACTGCCACACCTGTTTGCCTGCAAAGTTCACAGATATCCCCTGAACACTCTGATAATCCTCTGGTCTCACTAGTCACACAGGATCTGCGCAGAGAATTTATCAGAAAGACCAGGGCATACGTTTCCTTTAGTGATGGTTTTAACTGTCACATTCGCATGTTCAGCATTTGACATGCCTGGAAGGCAATTCAGAATTCACCTCCCAGCATCAGAGACCACACCAGCTCCAGCAAACACAGCATAAACACATTCCACAAGATCAAAGGTACTGCAAAGCCCAGACACCGAAGCCCTGAACGATTCCAGTTAGCCAGTCAGCAGCTAAACACTTCCGTCAACAAACCCCTGATTCCTCACGGATTGGATAAGTCACACTTCTTGTACCCGAGCAAAGGGATGGTAAAGTGCTGAATAGGTTTTGGGTCGCAAGAGCTCTAGTCTCCTGAGGGTTTCAAGTCTTCATTTCCTGTCTTACTTTGGGAAGCGTTCTTTACTGGGTGATGCAGTTGTCTCCCATGTCCTGAGCATATCTGTCAGATATTGCTGTCCTTAAGTCCTCCACCTCTTTGTGAAGCTGTTTTACCTCCACCAGTTTCTTTGCAAGTCCGTCAGGGCTTAGTAAGTTGTCCTTCTCCTTAGCAGAGTACTGCACAGCTGTGGAGTCAGAGAAGGGAGTTACCTCACATGCTACTCTGACCAAGGATCACACACATTTACAAGTGAGCCAGAAAAACCAAACGCACATTTGCCACAGAGGTACTACTTAACATTTAGTTATTGTAACATGCAAGTTATTCTAACAACAAGCTAGCTAACCATAGAAAGAAGGTTCAGAATCCCAGAAAGATGAGAACCTTCCATGCTATATGCAAGTTATTTAATTCTGCCACAGCACAGGAATCAAAGGATTTGCTCTGCCACCACTCCGCATACTTACAGCGAATGCCCAGGAGCAGAGAGAGGTTGGGATCCTTGCCCTGAGCCCTCTGAGTGACAATGCTGTAGACAGATTGCAAATCCTGCAGACAGCTGGCCAGCTCACTGTACAACTCCTGGGCGAGGCGGGCTGTCTCTGCAGGCAGCGGCTGGGTTGTTAGCTCTGCCTGCCGGAGTCGTTCCTGAAGGGTCAGGTTCTTCTCAATGAGATCCTGGTTCTGCACTGAAAGCTGAACAAACGGATGCAGCAGATGAGCAGTCAACTTGGTACAGAACTAGCACACTTAAAGCAACTTAATGCAACTGCTCGATGATGATGGGAGCACCGAGGGCAGGAGCAGCAGGTTTACATCAAACCCTCTAGACTCTTGCTGGATGAGTATCAGTCCTATAGAATGTGAGCATTCAGCTTTCCTGGCTCAGATAGGAAGCACCCCATGACAGTGCACCATCCCTGCCGAGGCGTGATGCAACACAAAGAAGAAAAAAAAAAAAAAAAGGCTTCCAGGAGGTTGTGCACCAACCACTCACCCCAACACCGGCCATCCCTTCCCCTCAAGGGCTGCCATTCTGCTTGGCTTCCTTTAGGCTTGAGAGCAGGGCTCTGCCCTGCCCTTCAGCCAGGGCTGTAGTCGAGTTTGGACTCCTGCTCACCGCCTTGCTGCCCCCAGCTGGCAAGCTCAGCATCCTCCACCACAACCCACAGCCCCAGCTGAATTCCCGAGGCAGAAACTGCCTTTCTCCTGCTTTTGCACAAAGAAGAGCTCCTTTCAAAGCACTGACAGGACAACTGGCTAGCAGGAAGCAGGAGAAGTTGTGCTGCTGACTGCAAATTAAGGGCCTTGCTAAGAGACAATCCATTGTTCATTCAACTGCTATGCTCAGGCACTCTAAACGCTCTGGCTCTGACCTCTTTCACAGCGGTCCGGAGCTGCTGCAGTGCATTTTCTCTTCTCATCGCCTCCTCTTTCAGAGCTTGGCTTGTCCCCTCTTCCTGGGCCACCTGTTCTTCCAGGTTCTGGAACAGACCATGGGAAAGTAGTAAGTCTAACGCACTTCACAGCAGATTCTCAAGTTCTAGGTCCCTCCACAGTCACCTCTCACCTTCACTTGCAAGGACAACTGCTCCATCTTCTGCTGCTGCTTGTCCACAATCTGGAATCAAAAGCAGAAGCATCAGAACCGGCTGCACAGACTCAGTAATACCACCAGACTTTCTCCTTCAATAGGATAACATCCCCTCTCCTCTTTCCTGTCCACTTACAGCTTTAATCACTGCCCCTGTTAGTAATGAACTTAGATTCCCTGATGAAAGGCACCTGATAACAGGCACCATTAGAAGGATCAGCTAAAAACAGACTGGAGAAGTTGCATTCTTGTGGTTTTCCTCTCCCCTCTTCTACATTCTGCAACTTCTCTCCACTGTTACTGCAGGAGTGCCTAGTTATCACACCAAGAACAGTTTTTAAAACCCCTCAGTTTGGAATTCCAGGAACTGCTGCTTGAGTGCAATTGTGACTGCCTATGACTGCAAAAGTCCCTAATTTCATTGCAGTGACTAATATGACTCAGTGGAAGGAAAAACTTGTGATTCCCAGTTAGGACAGCCTGTTACCTTCCTGAGGGAGTCGCATTCTTTCTTCAGAGAGTCATTTTCTATTTTCTGTCTCTCCCCATCCTGCGCAGGGGGTCCTCTCTCTGCATTCTTTACACACTGCTGCACCTTGTCCTGCAAGCTGAAATTAGCAGAACACCATGGGAACACCAGCTTTATTGAGGGCGTTTCCCCTCACTAAACAACATGAGGCAGTGAATGACTTTCATATCAGATGTCAGTGTTCCCATGTTCGCATCCCAGTTTGCAAACTGCAAGGGCTGTGAAGAAGGGAGTCCCTCTCCCTGGACACAGCCCTACCCGCGATATTGGCACATTTGCAGAGACGCAACGATTGCGGATTACATAATTTCATTTTGCAAGGGGTTATGGTTGAGAGCAACAATGTGAGGACACAGACTAACCCAGGTGACAAAACAGAGGCCCCCTTTCCTTCAGCCATCTGGTTCTACTCCCACCTTCTCCTGCTGGCACGCAGAATTTGAACACGGCATTCAGGTGACCACTCAGATAATCACCACAAATCCATGGTAACCTGGTTCTGACAGGTGGGACGGTGGCTGTGCTGAATTATGACTGCTCTTGTACAGCAATTACTTCAGTGCTAAGATGAAACTTACTCTAATCCTCCAGATGTTTACCTGCGCACAGTGGAAAGAAGCTCCAGCTCCTTGTGTTTTTGGGTTTCTAGCTGCATCTCTTGCTCCCTGAAAGCAGCCCGGACATCTCCAAGCTCTGTTTCCAGTGCCAGCACTGTTTCCTGCATAGCAGCACTCTTCAGTTCAGATTCCTTCAGCTGCAAGAGAGACCATCACAAGACTCTAGAGACCTCCCAGGGGTTTCACCACACACACCGTGTTTCGACTACACTTGCAAGGCAGATTTTTACTACCTCTGTGGCAATTCTCAGATATAACGCAGAACGTTCCTCCTCCAGAGGAATGACCAGACCATGACTTTATCTGGGCAACTGCCCCAGGGGATTATCTACAACTGTAGAAAAGCCACCTGAGCAAATATGTGAAGAGGTACCATCACAACAAAAGAGGATTTTTTACCTTCTGGCTCTGTTTCTGGTGGTCCTCAAGGGTTGGCAGATCAGCCAGGTATCGTTCCAGGGTCTCGATTCTCTGTTGTCTCTCTCTGTTTTGTTCAGATTCCTTCTGGCATTTCTTTTTAAGGTTATTAATGTGTTTGTCTCTTCCCTTTACCTGCACGGATAGTTATATACAAGTTTAGTTTATATACTTTCTTGTCCATTCTTCAGTCCTCTGTAAGCTCACTCATTTACCTTTCTGTACAGCACACCACCAAAATACAAGATCACCTTAACTCAGCAGCATTTCAGCTCACTTAGCTAAAGACAGGCTTCTTCTCTGGTTAAAAGAAAAGGTACTGAAATACTCAACTTCAGGAGGAAAGGCTTTTGCTTATAAACCAAAGTAGTCTACAAGGAGATCAGAAAATACCTGCCACAGAAAACTCACACAGGCACTACATTGACTTTTAGCTTCTCAAAGACAAACACCTTCCCATCTCTAGAGCAACGGGATCATACCCTTTCTTCCTGTTTCTTTAATTCCTCTGCATGTTTCTGCATTGTTTCCTTCAGTGACTCCCGGATCAGCTTTGCATCCACCTCTGCAGCAGCCAGTTTTTTCTCCAACTCAATCTTTTCCTTACTGAGGGATTCAGTCTTCTCTGTGAACTGTGCTCGAAGAAACGTGTTCTCCCGCTGCAGCTCCTGCAAACAGAGGCAGCCTATGAATTTGGTTAGTTACAAACTGGCACTAAGCAGCTGTGCTGTCTCGGAGCTGTGTTGTCAGTCCTCCTAATTCCCAAACATCATTCAGCCCATCTGATGTACTGCAGTACCTGAAATAGCACTTGTCAGTGCTGTCAGGCGTTTGCATCACTAGCACAGCTTCTAAATAAACCATAGTACTTCAGGGCTTGAAATATCAAGTCACAGAAGATCTCAGAGATGAGAAGTAATGGGTACCTCATACAAAGGATAATTTTACTCTGCATAGCCCACCTACTCAGGAAACACCTAATGACACCTGGTAGGTCCATCGGATTCAATACATATTTCTTACTGACACCCTGTTGCACCCAATTACCTGCATTCTCAACATGTAGACATCTCCGTAGGGTGCTGGACAGCCAAGCAGGGCACTGTGAACCTGCAGTTCACTTTCCCGAACCTTCTGCTCCAACTGGGATATGTGTTGTCTTTGCCTGTTAAAAAAAACCACCAAAACCAACAATACAGGTAACAGACTGTTCTCAAACATACACCTCGTTTTCAGTGGTATTAGAGAACAATACAACAAACAGTGCCACCACAACTCTAATGCTCCATACAGTGACAAGCAGAACAGAAAGACAACTCTGCAACTCAGAACTGACCTGCAGAGAAATAATCTGAGATAGTTCCATTTCTTTTTTTTTTTTTTTTACAATTGGAATTAACTTTTCTTCCCTCCCCTCCCCCCCAGCAATTATTATACATAAAACACACAAGCCTTGCATGCTTTGGAGGATCCAGCTTGGCTGTGAAGCTTACAAGTAAAATGAAGAGACAGAGGACTCTAAATGGCCAATCAGAAAAAAAAGTATTTACAGTCCAAATGCTGAAGGTAGTTTTCATTAGGATTTACTTTTTTGAAAAGCTCATGGACCACTAGCGTTAGGTATGAGATGTGTTGTTTGCCAGCCCAAAGTCACAAAGAACAAATTTAAAATAATACCTCAATGGGGTAAAAGGGACCCTGAGATACAAACCTTCCTTGGTACTTCCAAAACCCTCCCTTTCCAAAAGGAAAGGCACTGGAGTCCTGGTTACACATCAGTATCAAACTCTCACCTGTCAATGAGAAGCTCTTTCTCCTTGAGGAGGTTTTCATTGGAGTTCAGGATATTGATCCACTGGGCTGGATCAGGCGTAGGCAGCGAAGGAGAATACATCGAGGGATGGTGGCAGGCACCTCCATTTTGTAACTGGAAGAGGAGACAAAATGAGGAGGGAGTGGTTTGTGCTCCACAGAGGTAATTGCAACATTGCTAGAGCTATTTTGCACACTGTGTGCTCATCTGCATGCCAGGACATAGCTATTTCAGTCTCTGTCAATGTCCAAGAACGAGTAACTTTGCCCAAGCACAACTGGAGATTAACAAATAATTTTAGATCACTGCGCTAGCTTGCTGGAAACAATTTGTCTCCATTAGGGTACAGCTGGTGGGAGGTGATAAACAAACTGTTTTCACCTAATAAAAAAGATGCATAGAACTAACTGCAGTTTATCTAGAGTTAGGAAACAGACTTTTTTGGAATTATTCTAGAAACTATTAAGAACAACTTGGCATGCTTTTTCTTTGCAGTTTCTAGCAGACAGGGTATTTCACCTCTTCATCTGAACCATTGTGCAGTGCTGTAACATAATACAGGGCCACTCTACGTAAGTAGCATGTCAAACGATACTCGTGACACCACATGTTGTAAAAACAGATCATTAAGAGACTTTCAGTGTAAGACAGGGAGAAGCATGAGACATTTCCCCCCCTGTTTCTTAAGTCTGGGGCAATGATTCACCACTCAAGAGACAGGAAGGGTTTCAAACTCATACATTCCCACAAGCAGCTCCCTACCTGCATTTGCTCTATTTGCAATCGCACTTTCTCCAGCTGTTCTTTCCAAGCGCTGAGCTCACAGACCCTCTCATGTGGATGCAGCGAGCAGGCTTCTTGCATCCATGCTCGAGATGAAGGAGCTACAGGTTTCGAAAAGAAACTGTTGGCCTGGAGTCCCATTGGCATCAGTCTGCTCCCACTCGGCCACGTTCCATCCTGGGGCTCACAGGCTCCGTTAGCCCCTGCCGTTTGCTTACTCTCTGGCAGCACCTTATAATGGTTCTTTCCTGCCTCAGCTGTCCCAGAGTTTGGATTGAACTTCTGGAGCCTGTGGAGAGGGTCAGCGCACAAACTATCCAGAAAGAGAGACTGGTTAAAGGTGCGCTCAATGGTGGGGGTGTCAAACTTCCAAGTATCTTCTGTTCTCATGTGATCAGAAACAGGATGCCAGGATTGCTCAAAACCATTTTCCCCTGAAGTCCTGTAGAGACGCAAGAGATCCCTGGGTGGCACCTGAGACGACTTCCCGGCATTAACGTCTCCGTTTCTCATGAGCCCTGCATGTTCAGAAGCAGATCCTGGCATAGCAGTTTTTGAAGTACTCTGCAAACAGCTCTGGTCTCCTGCAGAGCACAGCTTGGAGGGTGAGGCACCCAATGTAGAAGGCATAACATGGGCCGTTGGGATGGTCACTTGGGTTTTGATGGGCTGGAATGAGGAACCGTTACTGGAATTGCAAAAGTCTAGGGAAGCTTTAATTACAATCCTGAAAATATTCAGCCACTCCTCTGCTGAACAACTTTCCAAAAGAATTTTAAAAACCAATTTTATTCCCCCTAAACATATCCTCTTAAGCAGCAGCAGCAAGATTAAGGCACATCCATGTTCCCCCTCACTACAAATTTCAGAAGCCTGCTGACATTTTCCTACCACCATAAACCACAGGGAGAATACAAATTTAGTTCAGTACACATTTTTAATCCCTTGTTTTTACGCTAGTCTAGTATAATCTTAAATCAATAAGGTTATCTTTCTATAGACTTAGAAATCAAGTCCTTTAAATTGAATAAAAAGGCTGAAACTTACTCAGCTGAACACTGAGACCTTGATTCTGTTCTGCCCGTCCCACAGCTCAGCGGCTCTGAACCGTTACCAAAGCTAACTGGAGCCTTCACTAAGCCCATGATGAGCTTCAAACATAGCTGAACACTAGATCACCAAGCAGTTGACCTTCGAACTCCTCCAGGACACTGCAGCAAAAGAGCTTTTTCTAGAGGCTAGAGGAATGGCTCTTGCCTTATTGCCACAGGAAATGAGATAGAGTTCAGCACACGCACCCCAATGTGAGCCTGCCCTCTCAGACGGGCACCAAACCTGGCTACATGGAAATACAGAGTTATTCTTAGCAACTCTCAGATTTCAATACAGCAACAGTAAGAGCTGAGAAAGACAAACAGTGGAGCGCCTGTTCCCATTCCTCGTCCTAATACATTGTGTATTGCAGTAATTCCAGGTTTCTTCCAGATAGACGAACTTGTTTTCTTCACAAGTTTTGGCTAAAGGCCCATCCCCATATGATGTTTCTTTAATCCAACACCGGGACTGCAAGGTCACCCTTCCACCTGTTTGTAACCTCAAAGCGTTGTTACAAGAAGGAATAAAGGTTACAGTCTGAATAGGACCGAAACCAGATTCTGCAAAGACCATCATCAAATTGCAGGAAAACTATCACAATAAAGGCACAAGACCCTCTCCTCAAAAATGAGCAGGAGGGGGAGAAAAATCTCCTAGCCATTACTTGGCTGTGCCCAGGAACTTCAGAGAACACCGTGCTACCAAGCAGTCACAAGCACATTCACCTTGGCAAACAGAAGAGACTGTAGTACAATTTCCTTTTACAGCTCCTAAATTTATACCTCAGCATTGCTATCAGGAACTCGAGTTCTCCGACCAGCACGCCACACGTGGATGCTGCAATCGGTTCCTTGAGTGTGCTAAGGGTCGTCACAACAACATTTCTGACTAATGTACTGACCTGAAAGTCAGCGTGCTTCAGCCAGCTGTCAGTGTCACGATTCAGCCTCAGCTCTTACAAACAAGGCTGCAACATTACAAACGTTCAGAAGGGCAATTTCCTGAAAGGGCCATCGTTATCTCCCCTGCCCTCAGCGTGCAACTGGATGTTTTATTATCCTCAGAGAGGCTAAGCGCAACTTAAACATGCACTCTAGCAATATTTCTACAAGCCAGACTTTTTTAAAAAGCCTTCATTTCAACTCACGCATTATTAAGATCTATAGCTCATTCAAAAGGCTCAGGGCAGCTTGAGAAACACATAGCCAGACTTTTTTAAAAAGCCTTCATTTCATCAACTCACACATTAAGATCTACAGCTCATTCAAAAGGCTCAGGGCAGCTTGAGAAACACGAATGTGTGTAGTGCACTGTTTTAAAGAACACCACAAACGTCCTTGCTGCTGAAAGAATCAGTGAATCAATAGTTGTTTGTGTCACTTTCATGGATGAAAGCATAGATGAAAACACACTGACCTGAAGTCTCTAGAAACACCTATAAATTATTTCTTTAAAAAAAAAAAAAATCACACAACAGACTTGCTGATAAATCACCTGTAGGTCACTATGAACCAGAAAATCACCAAAGTGGCTCTTTTAGTCAGGTAAAAATGCTTATTACAGTTACAAGATAACTAGCTTAGAGAAACAGCAAGTCCCTTAGCTGTTATCTTCTTGGCAGCATATCTGTTTACTGAGGCACTGGTTCAGAAATAGTCTCCAATCATCATTACAGATTCTGCTCTCCTCAAGTTTTATATTCTAAGGTTCAATAATATCAGGCTATTTCATGCTTGTCGGTCTTGTACGAAAACTTCAAAGTATTTGGCTGTTACTGTGTGATGCCACGCTGACCATCACCTTCTGTGCTGTCTGAGCAGGAGGTCCCAATGCCCCCATCCCCGCTGTCAGCCACACTTGAACAGCGACTGACACGGCTCTGGAACTTCACAGACAACATAGGCGTTTTCCAGTCAGTCTCCAAGAAATGACTCTTCTGACTGGTGCTGGGATCTGGAGGGAAAAAGCCAGGGATATTTATGTTTTAGCCAACTGAAAAGCTTTTTAATACACCTAATTAAGTCATATCTAATTACCCATGCTACCAAAAACCAAACTGATCCTTGCTTGACTCCCCGTATTGTTGCCAAAGAAATCTCCTGTGCAAAAGGAAATGGCAGCAAGCATAGGGAAGTCAAATAATATCAACCAGAGACTGAAAGTCAATCTTGTTATGGAAGTCAGAATGCAAAAGCAGTAAATTAGATTCTCATTGCAATATCACAAGTTTTGTGGTATTACACCCAGTTGATGCTCTCAAACTAAAAAGAGCAGCAGCAATGTTGGCACACGGCAATACTGTTAAAGATACATTTTTGCATTAACTGTTCCTGATTTATCAGTTATCGCTCAAGACACAGGTTCGTTATCAAATGATTCTCTACCCTTGTATAGCCATGTAATCGTTTTATTTTGCAGGAATAAGACATTGCCTTTTTAATAAAAAGCTTTTGGTAAAGAACTCTTCTCAGGGCCACATGTCTCCTCAGAAAGACTGAAACAGGATCCGACAGCAGCAGGGCTTTAAAGAAAGGACTGTCCTTACCTGATGGATTGTTCTGCTGGAGCCTCAGGTCTGGATGTTTCTCAAGAGCAGCCATCTTATCTATCCAGCAAACTACAAGGCAATAAATAAAAAAATCATATTTTAAATCAGCATAAACCAAACCCTGATCCCACTAACAAAGTGATGGGTACATACACATCAGCTACTTTTCATTCAGAGTAACACAGTATGTTATATTTAATTAGCATCTCCATTTCATTCCTGCAGCAGAGGCAATACTTTAAAAAACTCTTGCAGTTATTGTAGCTTTTCTTCATGCCTGAGAAGTGAGGAGAGTTCCTGTTTGCAACATTCTCCAGGTATGCAGCAGCTCAGCAGTGCCTTTCAACCGGGGCATGTGTTATCCCCATCATGGCTATTTATAGAGCATCAGTCACCATGGTACCTACACGCTGGCTTTATGTCTACAGAGACTCAAAATTTCCCTTTAAAAAGTCTTAACTCCAAACAAATTCATTTCTGCCCTCTGTAGAGGTCACTGAGCAACTACATGTAGAAATGCAGTCATTCAAAACTTAGTGTTGCTGTTCCATAAACAGCAATCATTATCTATCCAGAGCTTTGGTTTAATTTATCTGCTTATCTGAGTACTTCAGGCAGTGAATTTCCTGCCTCTGATGATGTGAGTGTAATTTACAGCTCTCAGGCTTCACCCTGGAAATTCAAGGCCTCTCTCCTCTCGGCCACTCAAACACTAAATTCTTGACTACCAGCTCTTACAGATTTTTGCTTAACCGATTCAAAGAGAAACGATTAATTCTTAGAAAACATCTATATACACACAGATTTTGCAATATAGGATAGACATTGGGAATACAATAGGGTAGATAATGAATCAGAAATTGCATTTTCCTCAGACAGCAAAGAAATAGAACACTGCTAGCTAAACGTAGTGCTTATTATGTTTAATTTAGGTATGTTTCAGAAATTCCTGAGTTCAAATCCCAGTCTCCAGCACTACAGTCAGGCAGTTATAACAGGAAAATTCCAGCGTGCGGTCTTGAAATAAAATAAACAAACCGACCAAAGCATTCCCACCTCACCCAGCGCCATCCTCTCACACACACCGCCCCCAGAGAGCACCCACACCACCAGGCAGACCCCCGCAGAGGGGGTGGGAAGGGACATGTGCAAAATAAGCAAAAACGAAGGAGAAAAAAGGAAGGGGAGCGGTGGGTCACGAAGACGGGGGGGAGCAGCGCTTTACCTGATGGAGGGGGGAGATTTTGGCGGGTACGTGGAGTGATGTGAAGCCGGGGAGCGGGGGGGGGACAGCCCCCGGAAAGGAATGGGGAGAAGAGTGGCTTGGGTAGAGGGAGGGGAAGACG